AATTAGTCATGTCAAATCCTTTGTCACTTTTTACAAAATAAACCACAATTTTGTCCACATTTTCACAAAATTTTATCAAAACTTGTAGCTTACAATAAACTATGTTCATCTGGTCCAAAATTAACAAACAAATTGAAGAAATGTACACAAAAATGTGAAAAATGTTTAGATTTTGGAGGGAAAAATTATGGCGCTTCAAAGAATTAAAAGAAAAAAAATATTGTATTCGTCTTCTTTTTATAAAACTTAAATATTGATTCTATATTTACAGAAACAAATAGTGACAGACTTTTCTATATCAAAAAAATAGCGATAAACTGTCACTACAAGCAAGTCCAATCAAGTCTTTCTAAATGTATTCATGCAATCAATCACATATATAAAGTATAATAATTTTGTGCTATACTTATGATTTATATAGCAGTGAGCAATACACTGCTCTATTTGGAGCCAATTTTAACTTTTAATCTTTTCAACACCAGAAATTCTCGCTCAAATTTTTCTTCACTTTTTTCCTATATTCTTAAATATTTCTGGAAATGAACCCTAATTTTGGAGCCAACAAACAAAATTTGAGTCAATTTCCAGTTTTTACTCAAAAAATTAAATTTGACTACTTTTGTCCTAATCTTCTGAAGGAAAGTGCAGACTATAAACAGAACCAATTTCTTTCACAACAATACCATTAGAGGACAGTATATGTTAAAACCAAACTACAACATTCAAAATGCAAAAAGTGTATCATAAACTGATACATGGTTCTCAGGTTTGATACTTAACTATAAACAGTAGGTTTCAGGTATTTAAAAACTGCCAAACTACCTACTGTAAAGGGGGTAATTATTCACTGGGTTTTAATTTAGCTTATTTCGCTGACTGGAAAAATGCGCTAAATTAAAACACAGTGAATATGTAAAATTTAGCATAGAACACATTATCTAAATGACGAAACCGTGAATTTAAAACCCACTGAATATGCCTGAAATGGTAAATCAGTGAAATTTAAACCCAGTGAAAATTAGTCATTTTACAGTATTATAATTTTTATTATATTTTTGTTCATATCTAATACAGCAGTCTTCAATGAGTTTTTGTTTTTCATTTTTTAAATAAATACAATCTAATATATAGTTTTTCAATGAGTGGTTGAGATAAAAATGGTTGAATGTTTCTGAATTTTTTAAAGAGCCATGCTGACTTTAAAAGAAATTGATAGCATAATTGCATCATTCTGAAACAGATTCTTTTTGAAGCAGCCCTCTTGATGAAAACTGTAACCTCATATACTAGATGACAACAGAAAATGTGAATTTTAGAAACGCATGAATTGAGAGTACAGCATACACAGAAATCAATGCGAGTGCAGGCAAAGTCATTCAACCAGTATTCAGGTCTCAATTTTGAAAATGATTGAAGAGTGAAAAATAGCTTCCCCGAAAACACTGAGGTGAGTTATGGGGGTGATTCCAATGTGTTGAAAAAACAATTTTGAATGTGTACAAAAAAATCAAATTAAAAAAAAGTCAAGTTTTTTAGCTCTCCTGGGTAAAATTGTGCAATTACGAGACCTGAAAATAAAAGTCTGTCCACATTATTACCTGAATTACACATATCTCCATGGGTTCCACAGTCATTTTGCCAAACTCAGTTTTGATATGCAAGGTACCTTGTTGAGGAACTGAAAACAAAAACACACTAATATTACCAGGTAGAACTGCTACACTAAAGATCACATCATAATGCACCAGTCAAGTGTATCCCTGACCCCTATGGTACATTATCAGGATTGTACACCAATTGCCACACAACCCAATTTCTGACCACATTCCATGAGAAGCCAACATGATTAAAAGTCAGTGGTTATTACAACACACTTATCACAATGCAATGCCACAAAACTATAGAAATTACTTTGAGTATTGCACAGATCATTGTTACAAGAAATAAGATGATACTAAGGTTTATGTAGGTTAAGTAGAATCCATCACCTGGCCCCACCATGAGCAATGTATCCATTTCCCCCTGATCAAAATTCACACGTGTTTGTGCCACCATACTGAATTGTTAATAGAGCATTGTGGGTGGTGGGAAAATCAATATGTTTATCAACACAAATCTCAGTTGAGCAGGGGGGAGGGGGGTGGAATTTACTGTTAAATAAACCCATTGGCTGACATTTCAGATATTTTTTATATCGATACAATATTTTGCATGTTTGATTTGTATCTCCCATATAAATTTACACAACATGACCTCAATTGAACTTTCATGACCTAACCTGACCTCAACTATATAATTTGACACAACATGACCTCAATTGAACTTTCATGACCTAACGTGACCTCAACCATATAATTTGACACAACATGACATCAATTGAACTTTCATGACCCAAGCTGACCTCAACCATATAATTTGACACAACATGACCGATTTTAACTATCATGACCTAACATAATTATTATTAATACTATATAATTGCTATTTAATGACTTCACAGGATCCTTTCAATAATCAAGCTACTAATTTAATCCAACACGGTCATTATCCCATACTTCATTACCATATTTAAAAAGTTGTTGGTAGAGGGGCATTTGAAATACTTACCAATCAAGAAATCTCCATCGGAATTATAGAAGCATTTATCTGTCATGGACGCATTACATAAATAAATGTGAATTGCTCCACCATGTCGACTACATGGGTCACCAGCGCCACCAAGAGTATGCAATCCCTAATGAAAGAAACATTTTGAATTAGTAAAATGTGTCCACTGTGTTCATTGCTGGTTTTTACAATAATCTTTTAACTTTTCATCACTGACAGATTACCAAAGAGTCTCCTCAATGGTTTTTTTTTTTTCTGGCAGTGGAAATTTTCTGGAATATAGTTTTTAATATCAATGTTTCTTTACCTGGACAAAGTCAACTTTTTCTTTCTCTGGATTTGGAATGTCAAATGGTTTCCATCGTAGCTGCAAGATAAATTAACATGTTAACAGGCATAAAAACAAGCAGCCTGTTGGCTGAGATAGCTCCGCTGTTAGCTATACACATTGCAATTAAAGAACAGAAGATATCATTAGAAAATGAACAATATGTATAGTATTAAAGCAACGGGACCTGCTGTTTTCAACAATAAGTCGAATATCACTTTGTACCAAAAATATTCACTAAAATTAGAGAATTAAAGATATCATCACGAAATGAACAAATATGAGAGAGTTCTACATGTAGTACCAATATATGTAATATTAAAGCAATTGGACTTGCGGTTTTAACAAGAAGTCGAAAATATCAAAATTAGAGAATTGAAGATACGATCATGAAATGAACAGGTACATATACACCAAGTATTAAAGCATTCAGGCTAGTAGTTTTCAAGAAGAAGTCGAAAACGTAAAACATTGACAAGGACGACAGATGCCAACGGACAATCACTCATATGATAAGCTCCGCTCGACAAAGTCGACAGCGGAGCTGAAAAATGAACCATTAAACAAATACATGAAATTACACTAAAATATGAAATGCTTAAAAGTATCTCAATCCATGTTGTAGACTATAATGACTGAAACTTTTAATAACAGAGGCATGGCTTTACAGAGGCATCAAAGACTAGCACCTTGCTATCCATAGAACAGTGTTCCATTTGAAGCGACACTGAGAATAGTTGTGATTAAATTATTTTTAATTGAATACATAATGCCAGAAATTAAATATATAAGCCTTTTGGCTTTTTGTGCTTTTTCTCTGTGGACATCGAGACTACAGCAATATGGTATGGTATGGTATAATGTTACTTACATCATAGACGCTCTCTGTTAGGGTCTATGCTTACATAAACAACCTTACAAACCATATAACCTCATAATAATATTTTGTGATTTTAGTGAAATATCACATTCCTGTATTCAAGATAGCTTACCTGGTTAGGATTTGGGTAGCTAGCTTTCCAGTCATCAACTAACCCCCTGTTTTCCTCTTTAGTGAATGGTGAATGCACAGCTGAAGGTCTAATTCTATAAAACCAGGTTCTTCGGTTGTACTCTCTGGGACAGGTGAAAGCAGAACCGGATAACTGCTCAGCGTATAATCCATATGGACATTTTATAGGATTATTCTAGAAGAAACAAGACATTGTTGATGACATATGCCGTGTTCACACACAAGCCAGTTTAGAAGCCACCTTTATAGTGATGCTGGCGTTGAACATGTGTGAATAAGCCGTATGAAATGACAAGTCTCGACCGGCACACTGTTCTTATAGAAACGGCTATATCACATGTGAACAATAAGGCTGACTTAAAAGTACGCCCTCAATGTCAGCCTCGCTCTGGAGTTCCACTCATCGCAAGTATTTTAAAGAAACAGGGCGGCCGATAACAAGGCTGGCTTAGTTTAGTCTTTATACATGTATGAACACAGGACCAATTAAAACCACTTATAACAATTGTTACAAAGTTAGCCAAACCGACTCTGTGGCACATGTGTGAACATGGTAATAATCTCCTTACGGTATTTAGCTGAATTGATATTTAAAAACACAAAATGGGGAGGCTGTGGAAATTTCACTGAAACAAAATTGGTATTGAAAATGGGTGAGCACACTTGAAAAATAAAAAATATAAAACATGGAACAAAACAGTGTTGGCTTAGTAACCTGCCATGTATGATGTTAGTACCACTGCAACAAAATTTTCTCATGTATCTCCGAAAAATATTTTTTAATTTCACTTTTATAAGATGATATGACATCTGGTCAGTTAAATTTATTCAACACTCCCAAAAAATTTGAGAGAATATGCAAACCAAAATCAACAAAATTACCTATGTATTTATCGGAAACACATTTGACTTTTTGAATCAAACCACAAAACAAAATTAGGTATGTTCTAAAAGTGAAAAAAATAACAGACATACAGACGGATGCAACACAAAACACAAGTTCCTGTTTCTTATTGCAATTGGGATGATAGAAAACATGATAATAAAATGTATTTGAAATTTTATACCGAGACACTGACAAACCACTGACAAATACAAATTGTCAGAATATTATATATTAATACATACATGTATCTAGCACCGCTATGCACTGTATTCTCATGATATTATTTCATCTTATGTATAAACAGTTAAAACTGATTGGCTAATATCACGTCACATGACAGGTATTAAAATAATTGACCAAAACAAAGTGCAGATGATTGTTGTGATGGCTATGTGAGGGCCACACATGTTGCTCAAAAAGTCCAACACACTACAAACAACAATTTTATGCAGAGGTATAATAATTAATGCCATGTGTCATAATGTATGAATAGATACCTGTCCCTTTGGAACTGCCCCAGGACATCGTGGATCTTCACTGGTAAACTCATTATCAAATCCACTCAGGTACTTCAGCTGAAATAAGAAAGCACACACAGTATTAGCTGCAGTTTTGCAAATACAGATTGCGGCGGACATTTATTCTTGTTAATAATTATTTTTGCGTTTTCTTCTGTATCTTGAGCTATGGGTGCTCTCATACACG